GGGCAGCAGAGTGAGACTCTGTCTCAAAAAAAAAAAGAAATCCAGGCCCAGACGTCTTTACAGATGAGCTGTAACATTTAAGGAAGATTTCACACCATTTCTTTGCAAACTTTTCCAAAACATAGACAAGGAGGGAATATGTCCCAACTTGTTCTATGGGGTCAAGATTACCTTGATACCAAAACCAGACAAATACATCACAAGAAAACGACACTTATGAGCGTAGACATCAGAAATCCTCAACAAAACACTAGCAGACCGAACCCAACAACATATAAAAAGGGTTAAACCCCATGACCAAGGGGGATTTATCCCAGGATGGCAAGATTGGCCTCACATCTGAAAACCAGTGAATGTAATCTGTGTGGGTAGAATTATGAAAAAAAACCCACACAGTCATCATAATAAACACAGAAAAAGCACTTGACAAAATCCAGCAACCTTCATGATAAAAACACTCAACAAACTGGGACTAGAAGGGAACTTCCTCAGCCTGATGAAAAGCATCTGTGACAAACCCTCGGCTGACATCATCCTTAAAGGAGGGGAAACCCAAAAGCTGTCCCCCTACGAACTATGTCTCTTCGGTATTGTTCTAGAAGTCCTAGCCGGAGCAATTCAGCAAGGAAAAGAAATAAAAGGCACCGAGATTGGAAAGGAAGAAGTAACCCTATCTCCACTTGCAAATGACCTGGCCTTGTACATAGACAGTCCTGAGGAAGCCACTACAACTGAGATATCAAAATGTAGTCCCTCCTTTCAAGGCACGCCCAGGCGAGGAGGGGACCCTGTACATGCGGAATAGGAGTGTGTACGTGTGAGCATTGTGGGAAGTGTTTCCCAAAGGAGCTGCTTCGCCTGGTCCGGGTGGAGGAAACAGTTTGAAGGGGAGCAGAGAGGACAGTTGCGGGGGCGAAGATGGGGCCGTCGGACCCAGCAGCGGATGTCCAGAGGCGCAGGTGCGGACCGCAGGGGCAGTGCTGAGCTTGCGTGTACCCGCAGAGCAGGGCTTCCGTGGGGCCGTGGTGGGAGGGGGTCGTGGAGGTGGGCAGGGTCCACGTGACGGAGACCCTCGTGGCCTGCCAAGGGGTTTGGACTCCAGCTTTCAGGCAGTGGGGTGGCTCAGGGGTCTTAGTAGGAGTGTTGGGACAGCTCCATGATCACATACGGTGGCCTCAGGGCGCCCTGGAGTCTTACATATGGGCGTTTGTCCTGCATGGAAGTGGCAGGGTCTTAGCGCAAGGTCCTTTCCTTTCCAGGCTTCTGGGTGGAGCGGACCCCCGTGCACGAGGCAGCCCAGCGGGGCGAGAGCCTGCAGCTGCAGCAGCTGATCGAGAGCGGCGCCTGCGTGAACCAGGTCACGGTGGACTCCATCACGCCGCTGCACGCGGCCAGTCTGCAGGGTCAGGCGCGGTGCGTGCAGCTGCTGCTGGCGGCCGGGGCCCAGGTGAGTGGCTCTTCGGGGCAGACCCCCAGACTGGCTGCAGCCACAGGAGCGGAGGAGGCCGACGCAGGAGAGGTCCAGAGGGAGGAAGGGAGGTGGGTGGGCTCAGCCTTCTGTGACACACATGCACGCGGACTGACCGGAGGGCACCGAGGGGACTTTGGAGGAAAGCAGCAGGGGACAGAACGGGGTGTGCCGGGAGCCAGGGGAGGACAGGCTGAACTGTGTCCTCTGCCTGTGACGACTGGGAAGCCGAGGGCCGGGAAGTGCTCTTGGTCTCGGCTATTAGGAGTGCACGGTGGCCCCAGAGAAGGCAGTTTTAGCACTGCTCTGCGGTGGGCAGGGGACCAGCCACCTCCTGGACACAGGACACTCGTCCCTCTCTGGTGGACAGCCAGGCCCGGGCTGCCATGTGAGCCAGAGAGCAGGTCCCATCTCTGCGATGGCTGAGTGGGACGCTGGCAGACCAGCTGTCTGGAAAAAAAAGGAAAAGAAAGAAAAACAAAAGTCCGACTTGCTGCTTTCCCTGGTGTGAGCACACCCTGGCTGGTTTTAAGCTGCCAGTGGTTTCCGGCCCACAGAATTCCCGGCTGTTCAGCCCCGAGCCCTGGCGAGCTGCGGCTGGCCCCGCGCAAACCAGCGAGTGACTTTACGAGCGTGCGGGGCCCAGTCTGAGCTCGAGGGCTGGGGAAGAAAAGGAGACGGTGGGTGTATTGTTTTTCCAGAGGCCTGGCCTGGAACGAGTTTCACCCTGTACCCAAATAGAAGCAGAATTTGGACAAATTCTAGGTAGAATTTGGCAATTCGGGGAGTCGTCTTTTTCCTGGCCCGCGGTGTTCGCGCCCGAGGAGGCGTGGGAAGCAGGCCCAGGCATTCCTTCCAGTTGAAGCTTGAGTCAAAACCCGTTTTCATACCCTGCCGCCCCCAGCTTGCAACCAACGCTCTCCTGCACTAATTAAGTGTTTGGGGGATGTCAAGGGGCAGGCTGAGCTTATCCTGCCCCGAGAGAAAAGAGCCCCAGATGGAATGGCTTCTCTGCCTAGGAGGCCACCGAATCCCCTAGGCAGGTGTCTGTCCCCGAACGTCCTTGCCTCGCTGGTGCCTGGGCACATAACAGCGAACCGGTGCTTCTAACAAGTGTCTTTGCAGAGACGCATCTGCACCACGCTGAGAAAGCAGGTGGCGTGTCGTCTCTTTCCCCCCTCTGACACTTGCTTCTTCCCCCACGAGGTGGACGCTCGCAACATCGATGGCAGCACCCCGCTCTGCGACGCCTGCGCCTCGGGCAGCATCGAGTGCGTGAAGCTCTTGCTGTCCTACGGGGCCAAGGTCAACCCGCCCCTCTACACGGCGTCCCCCCTGCACGAGGCCTGCATGAGCGGTGAGTTGCTGGGCCGCTGCACCCGCCCGGCCAGGCTCCAGAAGGTTCCTCCATCCTGGGATGCCAGGGTTCGTGAAGGAAGCAGGGTAGCTGGGATTGGAAGCCCACGGACATGGGGGGAGCGTTCCCAGTCTGTCTCTGGCTCTTGCAGGCCCCGCTGTGGAGATTCTGAGTCTTCCCTTGTCGAGGGACAGTCTCCGTCCGGGGCTGGGCGGCTGGTTCTGTGTCGGGCTCGACCTCTAGGCTGAGGCTCCCGGGCCTGTCCACGTTAGCGCTGGGCCCGGTCAGCCGTAGCAGCTCGCTGGGTCTTGGTGGTGGTTGCCCTGTAGGCCCCCAGTCCCAGACTTGGGGAGACCCAGACACGTCTCGAGGGCCGGGGCCAGAAGCTGCGCTCTGACCAGTGCTCTGGGGAGGGTGCCGGCCCCCCGGGCTCGGGGAGCAGGTGGGATTTCAGTGGCCATCAAAGAACAGGCAGATCGTGGACAGTGGGAGCACAAGAAGGCTGCTCCAAGCACGGGGAAAATCTCCGTCCAGTCTCACTGGGTCAGGAGCTCCTCATGTATTTAGGACTGGACTTTAGGGCGAGGCCAGCTGGCAGAAACATTTTTAAATGACAGCCTAAGGAGTGGATTTTATTACACTCTTCTGAGCAAAGGTTGCAAATCGCGGCTTGTATCCTGTTTGGCCAGGGTGCTGTTTATTTTTGGGTGCATTTCCCTGGGTGTGGGGAGCGGGGTGTGCCCTTCCGTGGCGCCATGTGGGGCCGCTGCTCACCTCTGATCCCGTAGTTAGGTCGTCTTCCGACACCTGCAGGCGTGGCGCTGGCTCCGGGGTGCTCTTGAAGGTTTCTGAGCAGGTGTTGAGTGACAGGAACAGAATTTGGGGCCACTAGTTTGGTGGCCCTCCATGGACAGAGAGACTGGGATGGTGCTGGGGGGTCGGGGGCCCTTGGAAGCAGAGATGAGTTGGGGGCCGTCGCCGGGATCCGGGTGCAGAGCACTCAGAGTGGGCTGGTGGCGTGGGGTGGATTCGTTTAGGTTTGGGGAAGAATCCCTGGGATTTGGTGTGAGGGAGGGACTTGGGGGGTCAGGTGTGAGCTGGGAGGGCCCCGGGAAGGCGGGGTGGGGGGCTCCGTGGTGGAGACAGCAGGCGGGAGCCGCCAGCGCACGGCCGTGGGTGGGGCTGGGTTCAGGCCCGAGTGCAAGCTGGTGGCTGCCAACAGCGAAGCGGTGATCCGGTGATGAGAGGCTGGAACCGGGACGCAGCGCGCCAGAAAGGAGGGCCGAGGGCCGAGGGCCTGGGCATCGGGCCAAACCTGCATTAGAGACCTGGACGAGGAGACGGGAGAGAGGCAGCGAGGCTGCTCCTGGCGTGAGAAAGTCCCCCCATAAACGCACACAGACGTTATGTACCCATGATCGTTACAAAAATATTTAAAAAGAAAAAAGTCCGAGGGGAGTTCTTCCAGGAGACGGGCCTGGTGCCGGCACAGTGCTGGGGTGGGGTCCCAGGCCTGTGTCTCGCGGCAGGAGGCCAGCCAGGCCTTTCCTGCCACTGCCAGATGGGCCGTGAAGCCCCCCGGGAGGGGAGCCCGTCTCCTGGCTTCCTCGTGGGGTGCGAGCTGCTCAGGTGCAGGCGGCCCGTTCCAGCCGCCACGTCTGCTGTGCCTGCCACTCCAGTGTGTGCACTCGGGACGTTTCCCGCCCTTTTCCGTTTATTCTAAGGGAGCTCCGAATGCGTGAGGCTGCTTATCGACGTGGGGGCCAACCTGGAAGCCCACGATTGCCACTTCGGGACCCCTCTGCACGTCGCCTGTGCCCGGGAGCATCTGGACTGTGTCAAGGTGCTGCTCAACGCAGGTGGGTGGGCGTGACCAGGCCACAGCAGATCCAGGCTTACACTGCGGACACCCTCCCCTGTGTCCCCTCCAGCCAGGCTGGGCCCACGTCCAAACCTAAGCCAATCTCTTTGTCCCGGACTCTGCCATATTCCGATCAGCTCAAGCCTGGGGCATTTGAACCAATGACTGTGGTCAGGGGAGGGACTGAACCAGTCAGGCCCCCCCACCCCGACACACATACATTGCAAGGTGGCAGCAAGGGGGCCTGGGACAGAAGAGGGGGGGAACCTGCGATGTCCCCTGTAGCCACAAAGCAGGGTTCCCGGGGTCCTGGCAGTGCTCCGTGGGAGTTTCCAGAGTGGGACGGAGTTTGCTTGGGGCGTTGGGCTGGTGGGATTCCAGCGCTAGCTCGGTGCCCGTGGTAGCCTCAGGCTGTCCGTTCCCATCACGGTGCAGGTCTCAGACGGGCTCCCACAACAGCCCTTGTTAGGAAAGCACGTGGGTTGTCGTGCTTTTTCTTAGAAACTATTTTTCCATCTTGGGAAATTTCAGGCATGCAAAGAGGAGACACTGCGAACTCCTGTGTCCTCACCAGTGGATTTTTTTAAAAGTAGATTCTGAACTTATGGGGTCGGGCTGCAGGCCCCTTGGGAAACCTAAGGAAAGCCAGGGCCTACGTGTTAGGAAAGTGTGCACACGGCACTCCTGCGTGTGACTGCAGGCGGGGCCCAGGCCCTGCTTGAGTGGCTGAGCTGTGGAGTGGACACGTGTCCCCCACGGGGCGGGACACGGAGGCAGTTGTCCTCTCTGTTCTCCGTGCAGACCATGTGGCGAGCTGAGGAACCAGACTGCGTTTGCAAAGGAGAAGGGTTGGGGGGGGGGAAAGTCCAGCTGTTAGGGTTTCAACTGACAATAAATACTTAACTCGCTGGGAGCGTTCGGAGGTGGCTGACGGAGGATGGTTGTGCGTCCACCTTCCCAGCGCAGTCCTTGGCCCGGCATCGTGCATTTCACTGTTGAGAAAGCACAAATTGAGCTACCTGTGCTTACGTCTGGGACTGTGCTGGTTCTGGGCCCGCCAAGCTGTATTAACGGTCCTGTCGCTTCGCTGGCCCTGGGTTCTCCGAATTCGCTTTAATCCTGTTTTGCTTTGAAATCAGGATTTCGGTAATGAGCTGATGGTGACCCCTTTTCTCTGAAGCATGAAGTTCAGAGTTTTTAATGCTCCGGTGGCACCGGTTGCTTCTCTGGCCCCTCTTCTCTGTCCCTGTCTCTGTCCCTCATCCCCTTGAGTTCCAGGCATGTTACTAGCCTCGCTCTACACAAACCACCTTCTTTCCCTCTCCTTCCTCCTCCCTCCCTTCCTCCCTCTGTCTCTGTTCACCTTCCCCCTTTACAATGTGCGTCTCTGTGTGTTTTATCTTTTTGTATTTTTGGAACATGCACATTATCAGTTGAGGCAC